TGTCCTTCATTGCTAAAGGGATTGAAATAAAAAGCAGAGAGGTTATGTTGCAGCTGTACAAGGTGCTGGTGAGGCCACACCTGGAATACTGTGTGCAGTTTTGGTCTCCTTACTTGAGAAAGGATGTACTGGCACTGGAGGGGGTGCAAAGGAGGTTCACTAGGTTGATTCTGGAGTTGAGGGGGTTGGCTTATGAGGAGAGACTGAGTAGATTGGGATTATATTCATTGGAATTCAGAAGATTCAGGGGAGATCTTACAGAAACATATAAAATTATGAAGGGAATAGATAAGATAGAAGTAGAGAGGATGTTTCCACTGGCAGGTGAAGCTAGGACAAGAGGGCATAGCCTCAAGATTAGAGGGAGCAGATTTAGGACTGAACTGGGAAGGAATTTCTTCACCCAGAGGGTTGTTAATCTATGGAATTCCTTGCCCAGTGAAGTAGTTGATGCTACTTCAGTAAATGTTTTCAAAAAAAAGGTAGATTTTTTTTGAACAATAAAGGAATTAAGGGATACGGTGAGAACGCGGGTAAATGGATCTGAGTCCACGAAAAGATCAGCCATGATCTTATTGAATGGCGGAGCAGGCTCAAACGGCCAGACGGCCTACTCCTGCTCCTAGATCTTACGTTCTTAAGAAGAAAAGTTATTTCCAGCAATACTGACTGAATATTTGGTTTCAATATTTGCATGGGAGAGTTACTGAAAAAAAGGTAAATCCTAAATTGGCTAAAAGCAAAATAAATGGTTATAATAAATAATGGGATGTGTGATTAAATAAAAAGGTATCATAATCATTACTGAAACATGGTTTAAAAAGGAGAGGAATGGCAGTTCAAGATTTCTGGTTACCAAGTTGTCAAAAGGATAGAGGAGGAGGATATGAAGTTTTTTTTTCGGTGGTGGGGGGAAATGGGGAAAGGTGGTCACAACATTAGCTTAAAAAAAAAGCAATGACAGCTGTGGGGAATGTTATGCTAGAAGTCAACTGAAAACATGAGTTGAACTGAGGAACAAAAAGAGGGCCAATCACACTGCTGTAGTTATAGTATGGAATGCCAAACAGTCAGAGGAGCAAAGAGGAGCAAATATGCATGCAAATTGATGAAAAATGTAGAAATAAAAGGGTTGTACAGTGAGGATTTCAACTAGCTAGGACAAATTAATTGCAAAATTTACAAATTGTGCAATATTCTTAAAATTCATTTGGGGTAACTTTTTTGTAGTCAGAAAATAAAGTTTATTTTATTCATTCATGGGATGTGGGAGCCACTGGCAACTCTAGGCGATCCCTGCAATCCATTTGCTATAGGTAAACCCACAATGTTGTTAGGAAGAGATTTCCAAGATTTGTCAACGATGACATATTTCCAAGTCTGGATCATGGCTGACATAAAGATGGTGTTGTTACCATGTATCTGCTGCCCTTGTCTGTTTACATGGTAGAGATCATAGGCTTGGAAGTTAAGAAGCCTTGGTGAATTTCTGCAGTGCATCTTGTAGGTCGTACAGCTGCTGCTGCTGAGCGTCGGTGGTGAAGGGTATGGATGCTTCTGGATGTAGTGCCAATCGAGCGGGTTGCTTTGTCCCGGATGGTGTCAAGCTTCTTGAGTGTGTAGGAGCTGCACTCATCCAGACAAATGGGGAGTATTCCATCACACTCCTGACTTGTGCCTTGCAGATGGTGGACAGCTCCTTCCAAACCCACGACCACTTCCATCTAGAAGGGCAAGGGAAGCAGACATATGGGAATGCCACCACCTTCAAGCTCCCCTCTCCAGCCACTCACCATCCAGATTTGGAAACATATCACCACTCCTTCACTGTCACTGGGTCAAAATCCTGGAATTCCCTCCATAATGGTATTGTGGGTCAACCCACAGCAGGTAGACTGCAGTGGTTCAAGAAGGCAGCTCACCACCAACTTCTCAAGGGTAACTAGGGATGGGCAATAAATGCTAGCCAGCCAGCAATTCCCACATCCCCACAAATGAATTTTTTTTTTTCAGAAGGGAGAAAATAGCATCCTTTTGCAATCCTCTTTGGCTAAAGATATGGTGCCATAATATAGTTGCAAAAGAAAAGATTTACAACAATGTCAGCCTAACCTCAGAAGTGCACAAATCACTGCAAAAAAGTTCTGAAAGATGGTAAAAACTATCATTTAGACAAGCACAGATTAATCAAGGACAGTCAGCATGAACTTGGAAACAGAAGATCTTGTGTGACTAATTACTGTATTTGTGAGGAAATAACTAGAAGAATCAGTGAAGGTAGTATATTTGATGATGCCTACATAGATTTAGTGAGATTTTTGTCGTGGACCCAAATTAAAGATTAAACTTTATAAATGAAATGTTCATGGAATCCAGGAGAAAGTGGCATGTTAGATCAAAAATTGGCTCAGCAGCAGGAAGGAAAGGGTTGTGATTGATAGCATTTTAAAACTGCTACAGTGTTTTGTGGGATTGTTGCTGGATTCCTTACTGTTCACAGCACATCAAACATTGTATTAACCTGCATCTACAGGACCAGGAGTGTGCCAGTTGATCAAGAGACCGACATAATCAGTGTAAAACAACGCTAAATAATAGAAATGTACTGCAAGGTATACATATCATTGTTATACTTTATTTACAGCATAAATTACTTAAATAATAATGCAATTTAGCCTTAAAGAAAGTTTAATGGCAGAGAGCCTTTTCACTCACACCCTCAAACTGGTTACTCAGACATCGTTGAGATTGCAATACGACAGTAAACTTCTGTTATTTCAGGTATATAATTTTTCCAGTTTAACTGGAGTGCCAATTCAAACAACATCTGCTGTATATATGACTTAGTCTCGTTAATCTTGGTTTAAATGTAAGGGGCAAGATTAAGAGGGTTGCAGATGGTGGGTGCGGGGTGGATAATGAGAAGGAAAGCTATAGTCTCCCAGAAGATATCAACAGATTGTCATTTTTCTGTCTATCTGACCAATCTGGAGGTAATGTATTTGAGGAGCTCAAACAAGGCAAGGGAATAAGCAATAAATGATTGAATACTGCAAACATAAAAGGAACAAGGGAACTTTGGAGTGTGTTTCTATAAAATCCTGAAGTTATCTTCAGAACCAAGAGCAACGTTGGTCAAGAAGGCATAGGGAATAACTTCTTCCATTGACCAAGATTTAGAATGAGAGATCAGAGAGGTTACACTGGAACTGTACAAAACACTAGCTAGCTAAGCTATTGCCTACAGTTCTGATCACTGCATTACAGGGCACATGTCATCATATCACAGAGAGTACAAAGAGATTTACAAGGATGTTGCCAGGAATGAAGAATTTTAGCTAAGAGGAAAGATTTAATAAGACTACAATGGTGATTACTGAGGCGGCAAAGGGCAGAATGAATTGAGATATATAAAATTATGAGGGTGCCGGAATGTGGTTCCAAAAGAGAGGAATTAGAACACAGATTAACCTGAAATATGCACAAAACATTGAGAAAACAACACAAATGGAGAAAAAAAACCTAATCTGATCAGCTAAGAGCATCAAAAGAAATGGGTCCATAGATTTAAAGCAATTGGCAAAGAGTTAAGGAGGAACTTTTTTCATCCAGAATGTGGTATTTGTCCAGAACACACTGCCTCAAAGATAGAGGTAGAAATCTTCATCACATTTTTAAAAAGTCTGGATATGTACTTAAGGAGCCATAACTTACAGGACTATAGGTCAAGAGCTGGTAATGGGATAAGACTAGATAATTATTTTACAAATATCCCTTCTGTGTCATAAATCTTTCTGTGTTCATGTGTAAGATGGTCAAGGAGCACAGTGAAGCAACCTGATGGGATAAATACAAGGAATCCAAGGAAATTTATGTAGAAACACCTAAGACCATAAGCCAGTGGTTCATTGAGCAAAAATGAGAGGAGAATGATAGGAGAATGGTCAACATAAATCAATTGGGTAGTCATGTTTAACATGGGTAACCACAGGCCAATTGGCTTAACATGTGCCAGGAGAGATTTTGGAGTTATGAAAGATAAAATTACAAATACTCAAAACAAAAGAAGCCATGGTGCCAAAGCTTTTTCTTTTTATCAAAGCACTCAACAGGTCAAATACAAGAAGATCGAATTTCAAACAACTGCAACAATTTATACCAGAGGAAAACAGGGTGCTGAATGGTTGGATAAGTTGATTCTGATTAGCTGAAGCATTGCCGTCTAAAAAACAAAACAGCCAGAAGAACAGAGATAACAAGGTGTAGAGCTGGATGAACACAGCAGGCCAAGCAGCATCAGAGGAGCAGGGAAGCTGACATTTCAGGCCTAGACCCTGCCGGAAGAACATGCTGCTTGTTCTTAATAAGCAGAGTACAAACCTTACTCAACGAATCCACCTATGCAGATTGCAAAATGCAGTGTATGCACGATTCTGCAATTGGGTAGCACTTGCTGAACAGTTCTGAACGAGCTAACAGTTACATAAACAATTTAAGATATTCATTCAAGTTCATCATAGTTCAGTTGCTGAAAGTGACATATAATCATATGCAAGGATGTGTTCTCTGCAAGGAACTAGAACATGTTCAACTCATGTGCCTACTCCAAATTACTGGAAGCACGGGGAACCTGCAGTTCTATGTAGCTTTCACTATGGCAGTCCTTTGACCAGTATAGACTTGCCAACCAATCAGTATCCTTTCCACCCTTAGTACACATTTTTGTGATCATTTGAAATCTGACATTCTTTCATTTGACCTGATGAGTGCACAAAGAAATAATTTGGAAACAAGTCGCTCTTTGTCAGCAATATTCAAAAAGAAAATATTTAGAAACAGTAAACACTGATTTTATAAAGAAAGCTGGTGCTAAAGAAAACTATGCCATAGTAAGTTGTCTATTCTTAAAGGGGAGGATAAGATAGGATTCTTAACATTTCTATTATGCTAAAGGGCTTATCAAACATCAAATCACAGTAACAATCCACCAATAGACTTTCCTACCTTGAGATTTTTACAGAGATTGGTCGGGCTACGGGCCGATGAGATCGCAGAGCTGAGCGGGAAAGAATTCTTCTTTTGTTGCTAACAAGTGACCTAGGGCTTGATGTTTCCCTGTCCAAAGGTTCAGCAGCACTAAAAAGTAATATTTATTTCTAAATCATTTAGTTTTCTCACAAAGCCTAAATTATTAGTAATTTTACATTTCAAATGACAGCCAACTAATTATTCAGCCCATAAATCTAACAAGTCCTGAGGAGCTCTGCACAAGAGAAATTTACAGCACAGAAGTACATAACAAATAGAACAACTTGGTCTGCTCCTCTTTCAATATGATCATGGTTGACTCTGTAACACAATTTCACCTTCCTCCGACTTCCAATATCACTAAATTTCCTGAGACGCCAACATTTTGTCTATATCAGTTTTAAATACACTCAACAAAGCAGAGTCCATGATTCTCTGGAGTAGGCTACACAACATTAACACACACCTACAAAATCCACCTCCTTATGTACGTATCCTTCATGGCCTCATCTCTACTCTATTCTTCACCTCTTCTATCTATGGCCTTTTCAACACTCTCAAATCTCCCGAAGACCCTTCACCTTTCCTGGCTGTGATCTTGAAAGCTCTCCCTGAGGTATGAGCCTAGATTTTGTAACCAAATCTCTGAGAAGTACACTAGAACAATCACATCAATAGAAAACAAACCTTTCAAATGGGTCCAGGTCATTTGGATCACCGTATACAGATAATGAAGCTGCTCCAATATCTGTTCGCATAGACTTCAGGGATGGTTCTAGTGGCCTGTACACAGAAGGAACTGAAATGCCATTTACAGGCTTTCCAAGGCCAAGGTTCTTTGCAATGCGTGACCGTGCTGTGAAACTCAATTTAACCTATTTAAAAACACAAAAGTGTTACCCAAATATTTGACTGAAAATTGAGAAGTTCAGTACAGAACAACAATAATGAGGTTCTCACCGCCTTCTTCTTTCCCTTCCTTCTTTTCACTTTTCTCCTCCGTTTCCTTGCAGGCTTTCCAGTGACTTTCGTTCCAGACGCTTGACTGGTTTTGCTGCGAGGTTTCTTTGTTCCAGCTTTTTTCCTCTTTTTACCTGGAAAGACCACAGTAAGGTCACATCATAAGTCAGCTCATTCAGCTTCTGGGTGATTACTGCAAGGCTAGAAATACAATCTTAACACCAAATGTCATTCTACAGTCAGAAATGCAGAGTTAAAAATACTCCTTTTCATACTCACCACCTGCTCTGTACAACCACCAAGAATGCCCCCCAACCTCCTGATCCCATTCCATATATTATGAGGAAAAATTAAAGAATTTTTGCTTCACTAGCTAGAACAATGGTAAATAAGAGAATGACTCCATGAAGTATCTAATATAGTAACACGACAGAATTGTAAATAATAGCTCGGTTAATGGCAAACAAATTCATAGAAAATACAGAAAAAACAAGTAAGAAACGCTTTGAAGAATTTATGGATGGACTGGCTCAATAGTTCAAAGCCCTCGTAGTTCAAAGCCCTTTTAAAAAGTTCAATATTGACACAGCATACCTTAGAAAAGGAACCCAGGCAGAGGGAGTTCTCAGGGGAGTAAGGCAAAGCTGGAAGGTCTCTACTATAATGCTGGAAGTATTATAAGACAGACAGATGAGTGTGGATTGACATGTATAACCGTGATGTTGATTCCCTCACATGGATAAGGAAGGGGCGGGACTGGCAACTCAACATTCTAGGGTATAGTATTTTCAGGTGAGACAGGGAGGGTGTAAAAGAAGAGGTGGTATTATATTTGTTATTCAAGGAGTCAGTTACAGCAGTAAGGATGGACAATACCTTGGAAAGGTCATCAAATGAGGCTTTGTGGGTAGAGCTTAGGGTTTTAAAAAAGTAGTTACACTGTTTGAAGTCTAATGGGCACTCAAACAGTTAGCAGATGCTTGGGGAGCAGATAACAGGATCTTGATCAAATGGGTCAATGGGCCAAAGAGTGGCAGACGGAGTCTAATTTAGATAAATGTGAGGTGCTACATTTTGGAAAGGAAAATCAGAGCAGGACTTGTACACTTAATAGTAAGTTTCTGAGGAATGTTGCTGAATAAAGAGATTTTGGAGTGCAAGTTCATAGTTCCTTGAAAGTGGAGTTGCAGGTAGATAGGACAGTGAAGAAGGCATTTGGTAAGCTTGCCTTTATTGGTCAGTGCATTGAGTATACATGTTGGGAGGTCATGTTGCGGGTGTACAGGACAATCGTTAGGCCACTTTTGGAATACTGCATGCAATTCTGGTCTCCCTGCTATAGGAAAAATGTTGTGAAACTTGAAAGGGTTCACAAAAGATTTCCAAGGATGTTGCCAGGGATGGAGGGTTTGAGCTTTCGGGACAGGCTGAATAGGCTGGAGCTATTTTCCCTGGAGTGTCAGAGGCTGAGGGCTGACCTTGCAGAGGTTAATAAATTTTTGAAGGTGATGGGTAGGGTAAATAGACAAGGTCTTTCCCAAAGGGTGTGGGTGTCCAAATGAGAGGGCGTAAGTTTAAGGCGAGAGGGGAAAGATTTAAAAGGGACCTAAGGGGCAACATTTTCATGCAGAGTGTACTGCATGTATGGAATGAGCTGCCAGAGGAAGTGGTGTAGGCTGGTACAATTACAACATTTAGAAGGCATCTGGATGTGTATATTTAAAAGGAAGGGTTTAGAGGGATACGAACCAAATGCTGGCAACTGGGACTAGATTAATTTAGGATATCTGGTCAACATTTTCGAGTTGGACTGAAGGGTCTGTTTCTGTGCTGTAAATCTTTATGACTCTATAACTAATTCACTGAGACATGTAAAGATGACAACATATATTATTATTATATATATAAATAATGCAGATGAGAATGTGGGGAGATACAATAAATAAATCTGTGGATGACACGAAGATTGGCCAGGTGGTTGACAGTGAGGAAGAAGACCTTAGGATAGAAACAGATTAGTCAGATGAGAAGATCAGTGGCAGATGGAACATGACCCTAAGTGTGAGGAAGAAGCAAGAAGACAAGGAAGTACTTAATGAACGGCAAGAAGCTCAGAAGAACAGGGGGATCTTGAGGCAGTAGGCCACAGATCCCTGATGGCAGGAGAGTTTAACAGGATATTTAAGAAGGCATACAGGATACTTGCCTTTATCATAAGGGCCTTAGATTATAAGAGCAGGGGTGATATGTTGGAGCTGTATGGGAGTTTATTTAAGTCAAACTGCAGAACTATGAGCAGCTATGGATTCTGCATAACAGGAAGGACATGATTGCACTGGAGGGGGTGTAGAAGAGATTCACCAGGATGTTACCGGGAATGCAGCATCTTAGCTATGAAGACAGGCTGGATAAGCTCAGGTTGTTTTCTTTGAAGCAGAGAAGGTTGGGGATCCTAATTGAGGCGCATGGATAGAGCAGTTGCTCTCCTTAGTTGAACAGTCAATAACAAGAGGGTACACTTTTAAAGGTGAAACGTGGGAGGTTTAGAGGGGATTAAAGGAAAAACTTATTCATCCACAGGGTGGCAATGTTCTGGAATAGATTGGTTAGGGGGATAGTTGAAGTAAGAAATCTCACAACCTTTAAAAAGTACTTAGGGGAGTGCATCAAGTGTGCTAACATTGAAGGGAATATGCCTAGTGCTGGAAAGTGGGAATCCGAGTCACAAAGTCATACAGCAGGGAAACAGATCCTTTGGTCCAACTAGTCCACGCCAACCATGTTCCCAAACCAAACTAGTCTCGCTTGCCTGTGTTTGACCCATATCCGTCCAAATCTTTGCTATTGACATACTTACCCTAATGTCTTTTAAATGTTATAACTGTATCTGCTCCCACCACTTCCTCTGGCAATTCGTTCCACATATGAAACACTCTATGTAAAAAAAGTTGCCCACGTGTCCTTTTTAAACTCTTTCTCCTCTAACCTTAAAAAATATGCCCTTAGTTTTGAACTCTCCCCACCCTAGGGAAAATACCCTTGCTATTCACCTTATCTATGCCCCTCATGATTTTATAAACCTCTAGAAGGTCACGCCTCAATCTTCTACGCTTCAGTTAAAAAGTCCTAGCCTATCCTTATAACTTAAACCCTTCATTCCCGGCAACATCCTTGTAAATCTTTTCTGAACCCGCTCCTTCCTATAGCATGGCAACCAGAATTGTACACAGTACTCCAGGGCTTGTGTAAATTTTGTTCATTTTTGCTAGTACAAACTCGATGGACTGAAGGGCCTCTTCTGAACTGTATGATTCTTTAGTTGGGTTGAACACTAGTAGTCTGTTTCTGTGCTGTATATGCCATGTAGTACTGATACAAAGTAAGCAAGCAATAATTTTGCCACGCTCAAAGTATAATAAGTAGCAGTTAATGTACAAGGAGGACCATCTTTGGTGTGAGAAAGGGATGGTTTTTGATTGGACAGCTAATGGGAAAGAGAGTTAAGCTATGATGGGAACGTTAATGGGAAAACAAGGAGGGTTTTAATGAGAATTAATGAGAAAGGGGGAAGGTTTTGATCAGAATAATGAGAGACAGGGATCGGCTATGACAGTAGAAATATCAGGAGAGAAGTAAGGACTTTGATGGCAGAGTTTGAATTGGCTTTAATAGGGACGTTAATGTAAAAGAAGGAAGGGATTTGATAGAAAAGTCCATGGTGGGAGAGAGATGAGAATGTTCAGGTTCAGGAATATTAGCTTTTACATCCCTTTTTTGCTTGAATCTAGTCACAATTACCTGGTCTTCGTCTACATTTCTTTGTGCTTGGAGCTCGTGGAGTGAGAGGCCGATGATACACAGCTGTGTTTAAGCCTGCAACAACTGTTTCAATAGTTTCATCTAGCAGGCTTGCATTCATCAGGTACTGCGGCACATGCTGTTGGTAAAAACCAGCACAAGTTACATTACAAGCCCCCTTTTAGTGCATATTAGTAGTTGTAATCAAGTTTCCCTTTTTTAAACGAAGCCAGAAATTGCTGGAGAAACTCAGCAGATCTGGCAGCATCTGTGGACAGAATGCAGAGCTAATGTTTTGGGCCCAGTGACCCTTCTTCAGAACCGTTCTCCATCAATTTCTGATTTTGTTCCAGATTTCCAGCATCACCAGTTCTTTAGTTTCTTTTCCCTCAGTTTTTGTTTGACATGATACCAAATTGATAAAAAAAACATGAATCTTTTTATAACAACTATGATCATAATCATGATCATGATAATATATATTGTGAACTCAATGGTTTTAATTTTTTAAAAAACCTTAGAAACATGTGGCCCTTCCAACAATCCAATACCAAAGTATTTCCAAACATGTTTAGACAGCAGTGTCAACTGATGATCCATCCTGGCCTCCTCCTGAGGTCATTAACATCACAGGTTCCAATCCTGAGCTAATTTAATCCATACCACGTGATAATAAGAAATGGTTGAAGGCACTGACCACAATAAAGGCTATGGGTCTGACAATGTCCTGGCTGTTGTACGGAAGATACGTACTTCAGAACTGACCGTGCCCTGGCCAAGCTGTTCCATTATAGCTATAACATTGACATTTACCCAACAAAGACGAAAATTGCCCAGGTTCACAACAAATAGGACAAATTCAATCTTGTCAATTCCCATTCGTCTACTCTCAATCAACAAAGTGCTGGAAGGTGTCATCGACAGTGCCAATACATATCACTTACACAGTAAAAACTCTCTCACTACTGCTTAATATGGGTTCCACCAGAGCAATGTGGCTCCAAATCTAACTAGAGCCTTGGTGCAAACATGGACAGAAGAGCCGAACTGCAGAGGCAAGCTAAGATCAACTGCCCAAGACCTCAAGGTAGCATTTGGCCAAGTGTGGCATTCAGCTCCCTACCAAAATGAGTCAGTGAGAATCAAGGGAAAACTCTATATCAAGAATCATACGCAGCATAAAGAAAAATGGTTCTGTTTACTTGAGGCCAAACAAGTATTCCTTAGGTTAGCATGTCAGGCTCAACCATTTTCAGCTGCCTCATCAATGACTTTCCCTCTATTATAAAAGTAGGAATGACTGCCAATGATCAGACAATGTTCAGCACGTGGCTCCTCGGGTCTGAAACTGCATACATTCATGTGCAGTACGAGCCGGATAACATTCTACTTGCCGCTTAAGTGTCAGGCAGTGACCGTCTCCAACAGAGAATCGACTGACCATCTCCAACAGAGAATCGCCCCCATTCTCACTCCCTCGTGCCGCCACATTGATATGCAACAGTAGGGAGTTTGTGAGAGTTGAAATATCAAGGCTGCTGAATGGCTTTGCAGCATTGATAGGTCAATATGCCATGTGGTAGTTGTTAATATTAAATGGGGTGCAATCACAAGATTAGTGTCTGAAGTGCCTTGTCTAATGTAGCCTCAGTACTTGTTCATGAGTGGATTTGGTTCAGTGGGGAAATTATCCATGTCATGTCACTATCACATAGGAAAATTCCTAGACGGTGCTGAGCTAGCCAGTCAGTCGGTGAAGTCATTATTATTAAAGTTAACAGAGAGATAAAAAAACCAGAGATCACACTCGTGAGTAGCTCCTGGTACAAAACACATACATGGTTGTCTAATAAGTGTAGGATCATGAGTAGGGATGGGTGATGGATGTCACAGCAATGAACACATTTCAGCATAATTCACGAAGAGAAGTCATTGGCACAGACAAAACCAAGGATCCCTGCACGAGTCACTACCATTTAGTCAAGTGAATCCAAACATGAAGGAAATGAATTGAAAACTCACTGCAATGCTAGGATGAGATTTTTGGGGCACCTAAAATTCTGCAAACTGCCACTAAATCGAATGATTTACGAACATGACCAAACAGATTACAATTACAAAGCCATCAATTAGTTTAAAAAGGCACCAATTACAAATCTCTCATTTTGCAGTAGCAGTTACAGTGAAACTATCGGTGCTCACTCATCATTATTCTTACGAAACATCAGGAATCCATAGAGGCAAAATAATGTAGAAAGCCAGAATTTTCTTTTCATTTATTCATGGAATGAGGGCATCACCGGCTGGGTCAGCATTTATTGCCTTTCCCTAATTTCCTAGACAGTAGATAAGAATCAACCACAATGCTATGGTTCTGGAGTCACATGTAGGCCAGACCAGGTAAAGATGGCAGCTTCCTTCCCTACAGGATATTACTGAATTTGGTGTTAACGATTCTGTACTTTTTCATAGGTCATGCAATTGAAGTCTTAGAAAACTGACAAGAGATTTCCATTTAATGCTGTAATATTATTAAAAACATCTAAAAATCACAACTTATAAAGAAGTGGAACTCATTTTCTGACAAATTGTAAATCATAACTACTGATAAAGAACATAAGTGACTCCTCGATTAGTGTAATGTCAATCAATTTTGATAAAGAAATCCACTTTTAATATGTATGATCCAATCTTTAGTTCACTCTGTACAATTTAATTAAAACTGAAAATCAATACATTTTACTTCACAATTTGCTGTCTGTGTGAGCATATTTTAAAGTGTCTAGCTACTTATCCTACTTAAAGGTATTAATGCTGCTGTGCATTTAGACAATCTTCTCAACTTGACGCAAGATTGAAATATTGGGAAGGGTGAAAGGCACATCGCACAGATTACTAGATCTCCATAAGTATTTTACTTGGATATCCAAAAGGAGTGCCTTGTTTTATCCCTAACCACAAAAACACACCTGATTCAAAAAATCCATCATTTCTTTAATACATAATTGGAAGAATTCCTGGGTTACAAGACAGTTAATGCAGCTTTGATACAATTACTTCCCAACAGAGGCATAAGCCTGCAGGAGCTCAGATGTGGACATATCCTAAGGTATATTTGAAACATCACTGCATCACATCCACTGGGTTGTCTTAACTTAGTTTCGTACGGATATAGTTGTGAACCACATGGTTTTATATTCTGAAATTCAGCACACCTCAATTTGATGGGCATGGGTAATCCTGCTCCGATTTACATTTTCCCGTACACGTTCACTTTGGCGAGTCCTTGCAATAGCACGAGTTCTTCTAGTAGAGGGACGTAACCGGGAAGTAGTGGGTTCTTGAGCTGCATCAGCAACAAGGAAGGCAACTTCTTCTTCATCAATCTCCTCAACCACTACAAACAGAGGCAAATGAGATCAGTTATTACTCTCATAACACCTTTTCTAACTATCTTTGCCCATTCGCAAGCTTCAGTATGAACTAAGAAAGAATTCAAATTACTGTTTACATAACCCAGTGCATTTAGCTGCCTACCTGAAAAGACCTATCTTCTGTAAACATAATCTTCTGGGTAAAAAGGTCCAAGAGTAATGATCAGTTATTTGGGCACAAACTCAACAGCAACATATGCATATTTGGCATCTTTAATTTAGTAAGAAGTCTTAGGTCTTCTAATTGAGAATAAAACACCACAACTAAGATATTAAGTAAGTTGTCCAACAAGTGACCTGCGAATGTGGCCCACTGAAGAGATAATGGCCTGCGCAAGCCATTATACCAAATACAGACATGTAGAAATGGAAGAGTTCCCCTTAAAGAGTGAGCCTCTCAACAACTATGCAGGAGAGTAACTGAGTCAATACAGTGTGGAGCTGGAGGAGCACTGCAGGCAGGCAGCATCAGAGGAGTAGGAGCGTCGATGCTTCGGGCCTAGACCCTTCATCAGGACTGCAAGTACTGATAAAGGGTCTAGACCTGAAACGTCAACTCACCTTCTCCTCCGATACTGCCTGACCTGCTGTGCTCCTCCAGCTCCACACTCTATTGACTCTTACTCCAGTATCTGCAGTTCTCACTATCTCCAGGAGAGAAACTGAGATTGGAAGAGCAGCAAGCAGGAAAATGAATGGTTTCACTTATCACAGGCCTGAAGTTGCAGCAATGATGCGGCTGGATGGGGTATGGGAAGATTTCAAGGAGAAAATTAAAGGAACTGGGGAAGAAGCAAATGAGAGCCAGGCTGCCAGGAAGTGGAGGATGGGCAGGGTGTCATGGAAGAGTCAGAGAAGTTGGAAGGGGCGAGCAGTAGTTGCAGACCCTGGGACAACAGAGTGAGACAGGGTGCGGAGAGGGTGGAGTCCATCAGGGTGGGGTCAGGGGCAAGGTGCAAGCAAGTGGAGGTGAGGGCAGTTGGGCTTGAGCTTGTGGGTGCACAGAGGAGCTGCAGGCAAGGGGCTGTTGTGCGATAGAGCATAGAACGGTACAGCACAGGAACAAGCCCTTTCGCCCACGATATTGTGCCAAACATGACACCAAATTAAAATTATCCCTTCTGCCTGCTCTTGGTACATATCCCTCCATTCCTTGCATATTCATGTGTCTATCTAATAGTTCCTTAAATGCCCCATCGTATCTGCCTCCATCATTGCCTCTGGTAGTGCTTTCCAAACTGCTACCATTCTCTGTTAAAAAACCTGTCCCTCACATCTCTTTTCAACTTTCCCTCTCTCAGCTTAAATGCATGCCGCCTGGGAAAAAGATTCTGACTGTCAACCCTATCTATACATCTCATCATTTTATAGACTTCTATCGAGTCTCCCCTCAGCCTTTTGCATGAATTCTTCAATTGAGGCCATATAGGTAAAACCTAAAAGCAGAAAGGAAGCCATCATGTTACTGGGGGTATACTTTGACCTCCAAACAGTCAGGGTGCTATAGAAGGGCACTAGGCAAATTTCAGAGAAGTGTAAAAACAACAGGTTGATAACAGGAAGTGCAACTTCTCAAACACTGAATGCGATAGACAAGTTGTGAAAGAATTCGAGGAGGCAGAAATTTTAAAATGTGTACAGCACCATTTTTTAAGCCAGCACTTACAAAGTCAGACAAACAGGGGGAATATTGGGAAAGAAAGCTTGGTAAATGGTAGAAGTGCCAGGCAAGAAGCGTTTCAGTGATAGTGGCCATAACTCTAAGGTTTAAGGCTTATGGAAAAGGACAAAGAAGCATCAAAAGTAAAGGTACTGAACTGGGGGAAGACCAATTTTAACACGATAAAACAGGATCTACCCAAAGTGGACTAGGAGAGTTACTTGTAGGAAAATCTACATCAGATCAATGGGAGTAATTTAAAAAGGAAATAATGAGAGTGCAGGCCCAACACATTCCTGCAAAGATGAAGGAGCTGCAAACATGTCCTGGGAACCCTGGATGTTGACGCAAGTACAGGACTGGACAAAGGAATAAAAGCAAACCTTATAGTGATATCAAGGGGTGAAAACAGTAAAGAGCCTCAGAGGAGTATTGAAAATGCACAGGGATACTTAGAAAATAAATTAGGGGAGCAAAGAGGAGCATGAAAAAAAAACACGGTGGGTAAAATAAAAGATAATCAAAATGCATTTTTAGAAGTAGTTTAGAGGCAAGTGGATAACCACGGAGAAAATAGGGCCCATTATAATGCAAGGTGGCAATATGTGTAGAGCCAGAAGACATACGCAAGGTTTCAAATGATTACTTTATATCTGCATTCAATATCAAGATAAACAATATAGATACAAAAACCAGGGCCATGACTGTGATCAAAATAAACAAATTAGAATTGAAAGGGAGAAGGTATTAGCAGCGATAAAATTTGATAAATCCCAAATTAGATGTATCCTAGGCTACGGTAGAATGCAAGGGAGGAGATTGCAAGGGCCTTGAAATTAATTTTTTAGTTCTCTCTGGACAAAGGGGAGGTGCCAGATAATTGAAGATAGTTTATGTGGTACCATTATTCAAGAAGGGCAGTAGGGGTAAACCAGGGAACTACAAGCCAGTGAATGTAATATCAGTGGTAGGGAAACTTTGGAAAAATTCTGAGGGACAGAATGTATCTCTACCTGGAGAGACAAGGATTAATCAAAGAGACTGAGCATAGCTTTGTCAAGAGGAGACAGTATCTAAGAAATTTAATTACATTTTTTGAGGTAGTGACTGGGTGTGTGGATGAGGGTAGTGCATTTCAGTAATCTACATGGACTTCTGTAAAGCTTCTGACAAGGTCTCATGTGGGTGACTGGTCAAGGAGGTGTGAGCACTTGGGATCCAGGACCCTTTGGCAAATTGGATCCAAAACTGGCTCAGTGGCAGGTACAAAGGGTGACATTTAAAGGTACGTTTTGCGACTGGAAACCTGTGTTCAGTGGTGTTCCACAGGGTTCTGTGCAGTTTCACTTGTTTGCCACGTACAACTTCTCAGATTAAACAAAAATTATTGGTGTGATAAATAGTCAGGAGGAAAGCTTTAGACTACAGGAAGATTTAGACAGGCTATCAAGTGGGCACAGCAGTGACAGATGAATTTTAAACCTGAAAAACGTGAAGAGATGAATTTTGGGAAGACTACCAATGTGAAAGCATAAATTATGAATGGTAGGACCCTGGCCAAACTGAGAATCAGTGGGACCTGGGTGTACATGTCCACAGATACCTGAAGGAAACATGACATGTGGTTTGGGTGGTTAAGGCAGCATCTGAGATACATGCCTTTATTAGGTGACATACAGAATACAAGAGCAAGGAGATTATAATGGAGCTGTTTAAGATGTTGGTTAGGCCACAGCTCGAGGACCATGTACAGTTCCATTGCCACACTATAAGAAGGATGTGACTGCACTAGAGATTTGTCAGCCTGTTGCCTGTGCTGGAACATCTCAGTTGTGAAAAGAGACTAGATAAGCTGGGGTTGTTTTTCTTACAGCAGAGAAGGCTGAGATGTGATCTGATTAAGTCTACAAAATAATGAGGAGCACAGATTTAAGGAGTGGGACAAGAGGTTCAGAGGTGTTAGGGAAAATATCTTTCCCCCAACGACAATGAATTTGTGGAACTTAGTGTCTGAAAGGGTGGTAGAGGCAGGAAAAATCACAACATTTAAGGAGTATTTAGATGAGCTCTGGTTATGCCACAGCATACAAGACTACAGACCAAGTGCTGAGAAGTGGGATGTGTCGATAGATGCTCAATGGCCCATCATATCTGTGCTGCTCAAAGGGCCACTTTTCACTATGTAATACAGTATGTCTTTGACACTTTCAGGCAGTTCATTCCAGACCTGAACCACTGTGACAAAAATCTTTTTCACACATTGTATGTTCTATGTTTTCAAATCACTGAAAATCTGTGCCTCCTCATTCTCAATCCTTTTACAAACAGGAACAGATTCTCAAAATCTACTCGAACCAGACTTCCCATGATTTTGAAAACTTCTACCAGATTTCCTCTTGGCCTTCTTTTCTCCAAGGAGAACAATCCCAGCTTCTACGAACTAAATCCTCACAACTCAAATTTCTTATCCCTGGAACCATGCTTGTAAATCTCTTCTGCACCTTTTCCAATGAACTCACATCCTTCCTACAATGTCCAGTTGAGGCTAAACAACTGTTTTGTATAAGTTAACCATAATCTCCTTGGTTTTGTACTTAATACGCCAATAAATAAATTTTGCTTTATTAACTAGAGACACAGTGTGGAGCTGGAGGAGCACAGGTCAGGCAGAATCGGAGAAGTAGAATAGTTGATGTTTCGGATCGGGACCCTTCTTCTCCTTCTCCCTCCAAAGGTTCTTGCTATCGCCGAGTTGCCTTATTAAGACCATAAGACGTAGGAGCAGAAATGAGGCCATTCGGCCCATCGAGTCTGCTCCGCCATACAATCATGGCTGATAAGTCCCTCAACCCCATTCTCCTGCTTTCTCCCCGCAACCCTTGATCCTCTTAATAATCAAGAACCTGTCTATCTCAGTCTTAAATGTACTCAATGACCTGGCCTCCACAGCCTTCTGTTGCAGTGAATTCCATAGATTCACCACTCTCTGGCTGAAGAAGTTTCTCCTTATCTCTGTTCTAAAAGGTCTTCCCTTTACTCTAAGGCTGTGCCCTCAGGTCCTAGACTCTCCCACCAATGGAAGCATCTTCCCAACATCCATTTTGACCAGGCCATTCAGTATTCTGTAAGTTTCAATTAGATTCCCCCCTGATCCTTCTAAACTCCAATGAGTATAGTCCCAGAGTCTTCAAACGTTCCTCATATGTTAAGCTTTCCATTCCTGGGACCATTCTCGTGAACCACCTCTGAACCCACTCCAGGGCCAGTACATCCTTCCTGAGATATGGGGCTCAAAACTGCACACAATACTCCAGACATGGCCTGACCAGAGCCTTATAAAGCCTCAGTAGTACATCCCTACTTTTATATTCAAGTCCTCTCAAAATAAATGCCAACATTGCATTTGCCTTCCTGACTACTGACTCAACCTGCAAGTTTACCTTGGGAAAATCCTGGACTAGAACTCCCAAGTCTCTTTGCACTTCAGACTTCTGAATTTTCTCCCCATTTAGAAAATAGTCCATGCTTTTATTCTTCTTACCAATGTGCATGACGTCACACTTTCCCACATTGTACTCCATCTGCCACTTCTTTGCCCACTCTGCTAACTTGTCCAAATCCTTCTGCAGCCTCGCCACCTCCTCAATACTACCTGTCTCTCCACCTATCTTTATATCATCTGCAAACTTAGCCAGAATGCCCACAGTTCCTTCGAGATCATTAATGTACAAAGTGAAAAGTTGTGGTCCCTGCACCGACCCTTGCGGAACACTACTTGTCACCGGCTGCCATCCTGAGAAAGACTCCTTTAGCCCCACTCTCTGCTTTCTGCCAGACAGCCAATCTTCTATCCATGCTAGCACCTTGCCTCTAACACCGTGGGCCCTTATCTTACTCTTGTGAGGCATTAACTGCTGTTTCCATTTACCCTGTCACCTTCGGAGGACTATACACATATACATCCAGCTCTTGCAACCCCTTTAGAATTGTACACCCAATTCTATATTGAATGTCCATATTCTTCCTAACAAAATGCATCATCACACACTTGTCCGAACTGAACCTCACCTGCCACCTACTGCCCACTTCAACTTGTCAATGTCCTTTTGGAATTCTACACTTCCATCTCCCATTTTACGATGTTTCCAAGTTTCCAGTAGCAGGTGCTAAACCTGTCCCCTGCACATCAAGATCTAAATGACTAATATGTATCAGGAAAAGCAAGGGTCCCAATACCAATCCCTGGGGAACGCCACCACAAATCTTTCTAGCTTGAAAAATATCTATTGACCATGACTCTTCATTTCCTGTTACTCAGCCAATTTTGCATCCACTTTATTATTGACCCTTTCATTCCAGAAGCTTTCTGTCATACAGCATTACATCAAACACCTTTTTAAAGGTCATGCATACCTCATCACCAGTATTAACCACATTCACCTTTTCCATTACATCTTCAAAAAACTCCAGCAATTAAGTCAAACACAATTTCCCCTACAGAAATCCATGCTGGCTTGCCCTTAACAACCCACCTTTTTTCATGTGACCGCTAATTCTAACCCGAATTATTGTTTCTAAAAGCTTACTCATGACTGAATTTAAACTGACTGATCTGCAATTGCTGGGCTTATCATTACTCCTTTTCTGAACAAGAATACATGGCTTTATTTCTCTAGCCTTCTGGCACCTCCAGATTCTAGGGAAGACTAAATGATTATATGTAGTTTCCTTTCCATTCTCATTCACTTCCTTGAATATCATTGGAAGAGTCTCACCAACCCAGAACTTCCACCTCCAAACCTTGGCCTCAGTAGCATCTACTTTCTTGGTAAGGCAAATGCAAAGTATTAATACCTCAGTCATGCTTCTTGCCATCACGTGCAAACCATCTGGTTTGATCCCTAATTGGTCCTACTCCTTTTTTTGCCAGTCTTTACAATTCGTATGCCAGTATATGACTCTGGGATTCCCCTTTATGATGGTCACCAGTCTTTTCTCAATCCATGTTCGCTTACATTTGTTAATACATTTAAAAACTTCCATGTCTGATAGATTAGGCTTGTTTTCCTCTGAATATGGAAGATTTAAAAGTGATTTAATTGAATTGAGATCTGATAGATTTTTCAAAATCATGTTGGGTTTGGACTGAATAGATAGAGGAAACTGTTCCCACTTGTGAAAGGATCAAAAACCAGAGGGTACAGATTTAAAGTGATTTGCAAAAGAAGCAAATATGATTTGAAAAAACGTTTTCATACATGAGTTGCTTGGGCTAGAATGGACACCCTGGAAGTGTGGTGGAGGCAGGTTTACTTGAGGCATTCAAGAGGGTGTTGAATGATTATTTAAATAGAAACAATGTGCAAGGATATGGGGAAAATACAGGAGAATGGCATAATGTAAGTCACAACACCCATTTGGAGAGTTGGTGCAAACATGATGGGCCAAATGGCCCCCTTCTGCGCAACCAAGTTGTTTTAATAGGTTAGATGTGCTAGGGTAGATAGAATGTAGTTTATTGGAGTGGTCAAGTCAGAATAAGGATACAATCTTAAATTACACTGACAACCAATTTAGATTGTCAGGCAGGATTGCAACA